CTCGTGTTAAGCCAATCTCATTGTGTTGATTGAATCCTTGCAAAGGATGTTAATCAAGTGACCTGGACACCGTTAGATACTAATGTACAACTAGTCAATAATCACGAAGATTGTACTTCTCATGGATTATTGGTAGTTTAATTGTATCTAATGGGTTGTACTAGGCCGGATATTGCCTTGCGGTTAACGAACTCGGTAGACATACGAGTAACCCTAGTGATACGCACTAGAAGACAATAGTGAAAGTTATGAGATACTTAAGGTATATGCTCGTGACGTTGGACTGCACTACGTGGGATATCTAGCTATGCTTGGAAAGTATAGTACAGGATATCAAAGGACGCTAAGTCCATTAAAGGCTACGTGTTTACGTAGGCCAATGCAGTTGGTTGTATAGAAATTCTCAAAACGATTTGTGATAGCTAACATCCATGATAGAATCTAAGCTAAGAGCCTTAGACTTGTGTTGCAAGCGAGTAGGCCGAATGGCTATGCCATTTTTCAGGAATGTTCCTAGAAGTAAACTCGTACCTCCAATTTGTGTGTGTTGCGATAGTCAAGCCAAAATTGGTTAAGTACAGAGTTAGATGTGGAATGGTAAGTCTAGACTTATAAGTCGTAGACATAATACCATTAAATAATTTCTCACAACTGGATTATCTCTATTGACTACGTGACGTCAAAAGATAACGTAGCGGCCTCTAACTTGCTAACCCGAGGGTAAGCAAATGGTTGTGGAGAATTTGGAACGAGGAATGGGTCTAAAGCCCTTGGACTAAAAGTTCTATAGTGGATACCCAACCTAGCTAGCACCTAGGTTCAATGGGACAACTAAATTATAGAACGGAGCGTGTCACTGTGGGGTCTCGGACTCCCTGCCACTCCTCGTTAGAAACAGTGACTCCTGCACGAGGCTAGCACGTTGATGCACTGTGGAGGTCTCGGACTCTCCGCAAGCATTGGTATCGTACTCGAGCGTACGACACGATATTCACCTCATTCGAACGGTGTTGCCGAACATAAAAATAAAGATGTTGATTAGTTAGGATTTACCTCAAAATATGTGGGGTAAAGTAAGTTTGACAAGCAATTACCTTTTAATAAGGTTCCACACAAGATTTCATCCATATTGATTGAGTGTGAAGTTGGGAAAGGGGTTTCGATCGGGCAAGAACAAAATGGAGGAACCATGATCTGGGCTATTGCTTTTCTTCAAATCACTAATTTTTGGTAAAGCTGGTTTCTTTCTTCAAACTGAGCATCATCATCATCATCATCAATTCATCACCATCCCGTTGTTGATAGCTATTCCTGTAGACTGAAATATCTTGATCTTGTTGCTCTTGTGATTCTGATTTGCTTTTTGTTTCCTCATATTTGGTTTAGTTCCCATGGCTTTTTGTGAGAATTGGACACTGTTATAAAAAAATATAAGTCAATTAAAAATAAAAATAGATTAAAAATTAAATCAAAAAATTTAAGCCACGTGATTTGATTTATACTTTATACTTTATAGTGTGTTTATGTTGGAATACATTGGATTTGTTGGAATACTGTAATGGGTTGGTTTTGGTTTTTACTTCAGTTGTCATGTGACATAAACATGTTTTAATGTTAAGGCAACCGAATAAACCTTAAAGATGGCCTATCATCCATGATGGTTAGTTTGTCTCTAAGGAGGCATAAAGCTGTTAACTGCTTCCATAGAAGATTTTTAGTCTTTTATATTATGGTTATGGGTCTCCATGTTTATCACCACCGAGATTTTTTTGCAAGCTTTTCTCATGTTCATCCACTACTTTACAATTATATATATGCTTAACCTAACCTAACGTGTTTATTATGGTTATGGGTCTCCATGTTTATCACCGTTGGAATTATTTTTGTTACACGTTTAAAGATGCTGATGTGGAGTACCGATGAAGAAATATACTTGTTTACTACCTAAATTCTGTATTTATGTATACTTTTATTTTATCACATAACAATTCCTCAAATTTATATATTATCATTAAAAAATTAGAATACATTAATTTATCGTTGGACATGTCGTTTCGCGCAAAGCGCGTGCCTGTGACTAGTATATATATATATATATATATATATATATATATATATATATATATATATATATATATATATATATATATATATAGGGGTACGCTCTCATGCGAAAGGTCGCCCAGGAGATGAATGAGAACCATTCAGCGCCGTCCACATGTCCAGATGAATGAATTAGATGTAATTTTAAAAAAACAATGTGGTGACATTTTCGTAAATAACTTAAACTTTGGTGCATGTAAATGTGTTATAAATGCAAGTAGCGGGTGCACCTTTGCAAGTAAAAAGTGCAGGTAAAATCTCTTACAAGTGCACCTACTTTCACTTACAAGTGCTTGTAATTTTACCTTGTTAACAATCATGCACCTAGGTGCAACTATTTATAACTATGTGTGCACCTAGTTATAACATTAGGTGCACTTAGTTTTGATACTCAGTGTAAATCTGTTGTTAACCTGCTAAAAATACTAATTGTAGTTTTCCAGGTTCATGGATGAATTTGGAGCTTATTCGAATTTGATGGTTTAATTGCTAACCCCAAATAGTTCAATGGCCTATTTGTACATTTTCCGTAAAATGTATTACAAGTGCAGGTAAAATGCATCATCGTCATCGTCATCGTCATCGTCATCGTCATCGTCATCGTCATCGTCATCATCATCATCATCATCATCATCATCATCATCATCATCATCATCATCATCATCATCATCATCTTACTAAGATTTGATCATCTTCCTGAATGCCATGTTTTATATTTTATTATTATTATTTATATATTTACTGTGACACCCCGAAATCCAAATTCAATTAAGGGACTAATTGAGTAATTAATCCTATTTCAGTTGGTGAATTAATTCCTAAAATCCTGAAAATTCAATAGTCGGGGACTAGTAATTGACTAGTCAACCCCATAGTCAAAGTTGTACCTTAAGCTTTGTAAGGAGTTCCCTTGTTCCCTTGCACTTCCTTAAGTTAGTAAGGGTATTCTTGACCTTTCACTTGGTGTTAGTATTGTAACCTAACCTAGTAGACCACCTTCATTCTTTCCTTACACTTTCTAAAAATCTAGCTCCACCTTCTCTCTAAAAAGGTAGATAGCTTATCTTCTAAGCCAAGTTGGAGCCTTGCCAAAATTTCAAGAGTTGCTTCCAAGATTCAACCTTTCATATATTTGGGCATCTATGAGGGTAAGATCTAAGTTCATCTTGTGTTTTTAGTATTATCTAAGGTGTCTTTTCTTAAAGATAGGATCTTTATAATCTTTTGGTATGTTCTTGAAGTGGGTTTGGAAGGTGAGCCTTGTGAGGAGCTTGCTGAGGTGTTAAATGAAGTCTTTAGTCTACAAGAGGTAAACCATGCTCTACAAAATCTATTTTGCTTACCTATATGAATATTTCTTGGATTCTACATGTGTTTTGCTATGAAATGTGAGTGTTTATGCATTGTCTTGTGAAAATGCATATCTAGAGCTTGTGTTTAGGGTTCTTGTATGCCATTGCTTGGCTATTCCTTTGATTCAAGTCATTTTGTTGTATTGGGTGAGATTTGGCATGTTTTGGACTTGAATTTGAGCTTGGAGTTGAAAATCCCCTAAGGGATTATTTGTGCAGGTATACGTACCCACGGGCGGAACGACGGGTAGAGCTCCAACCCGCCGCCCACCTGCGGGGAACATATGGCCGGTGGGTAGTGTACCCGCGGGCGGAACCACGGGTGGGAGCCTACCCGTGGGTCCACCCGCGGGGAACACTTTGGTGTTGGATCGGGATTTGTTCCCTGTGATTCTTTTGACTCGGTATTTGGTCTTTTGACTTCACGTTGTTCTTTTGTGAAACTATTTGAGTGTCTTCTTGATGTTTCGTATGTCTAGAACTATATGGTAGGAATCCATTTAGGTTTTGGTGTCTTGAATCGTGCTAAGTGTTCAACATTGTGTTTCGTTGAACCGTGATGAGTCTTGTGTGTTCTTCGGAACTACTTTTGGTTTACCCGTTTGATAAGCATGCTAGTTTGGTGTTTAAATGCTAGCGTGTGTGTTGTTTGTACCTTCTTATGGGTTAATGATAACTTGTGTTATTCATCGTTGTTGTTGTTGGACTGTGATAACTTGAGTATGGTTTCATATCTTCGTTGTGATCCGTTGATTGATTCCTGTTGAGGTGTGATGTGTGTGTGGCTTTACCTGGATTGCACGATTAGTGGTATGGGACACTAGTCACCAAGGTATTGCAGTGGTCCTCGTGGTGGCCATGACGTGATTATGGAGTTGTGACCTTTGTGTAAGGTTCACGTGATTCTTGGGTGGCATGTGTTGCCCTGTGTGAAATCGGTACCCTCGTGTACTATGAAATCGGTGGATCTGTTGGAGAGGGGACGACGGTCCTCGGAGGGAAAAGGTTGGACTTGGTGTACAGGGGTCCTGGAGGTAAAGGTTGGAACTAGATATAAGGTTGGAGGTAGCCATAAGGTTGGAACCGGGCATAAGGAAGGCATATCAACTCGTGATGGGTGATGTCACGAGGGCTTGTGTAGCCGTTATTGTGAGTTCTCTTCTTGTGACGTGTGTAGTCACAAAGGCATGTGTTGCCTAGGCATGTGTTGTCGTTGGTCTTGTCTTTATCCTTTTGAGTTGTTGTTGTCCTTGTGGTCTTGGGATGTGTACCCGTGTTCTTGTTGAGGGTGTTAAGTCTTGTGTTGACTATTACTCTTGGTTTTGTACTTATATATATGTATTCTGTTTCGAAAATAGCTTTACAACTTATATCTTACCTATGTATGTTATTTCACATGTATTGGTGGGTTACCAGCATTATTCGCTGACCGGGCGTCGTCCCATGTTTATTGTATTCTTTCAGGTGATGTCTAGACGAGTGCGCGGTCTAGTGCTTGCTAGTATAGCTTCTCCCTTTCGTTTTGTGGCCTGTGTGCCAGCTTAGATGTGGAACAATGAGACATTTGGTTTAGATTTAAACATTGCAGATGTTGCCTGTACGTTCATCTCTTTGACGAACGTGGCATAGCACCCCGTATTCTAATTTATTTATATACATCTATCTTTCAGTCTTTCGCTGTATTGTTGTTTGGTTTAGTTATCTGCATGTTTAAAGCTTTAAAATAGCATGTTTTTAGGGGGTGTTACATTTACAAACTAACATATATGAATACAATACCCATAAAACACGGCACAAGTAACTTGTAATAAAATATTAAGCCATCTTCATTTCATTAAACCGCAGATAAATGAATAGATACACTAAAACGATGGTGAAACAAGCAAGGAATTGGCTAGTGCTCGCATCTACGGCATCAAAAAAATACTCGCTGTAATTCAGTACATTTTTCTGTACAAAAATTCAATTCAATTTAATTTGCTATATCATCTTATATGTTACAGGATGTATGTATACATATATAATTAGGATATTAGTTATATGTTATGTATGTATGTATATATATATATATATATATATATATATAGAAAAGCGCTCAAATGTGGCAGTGTAATTAGGTGTGGCAGTGTGGTTATATTTGAACCATTGGATCAAGGCAATCTAACGGGAGAGGCTTATTTTTTTAAACAAGGAAGATTTGTTCGCGTTTTGGTAAGTGGGGGTAGTTATGTAATTTTGTTTACATGGTTACGTGAATGTATATAAGGTAATTTGTATTCTGTTCTGTTATATATATTTAAACTCAGAGAGAATCGGCAACTTGGTGAAGAGAAGATCAAGATAGCGATCACGGTCGCGATCGCAATTTCGGGAAGATCACGGTCGCGATCGCATCGCAAGTGGGAGAAGGTCGCCGGAGATCAGTTGATAGGGCAATTTGAGTATACCGGGCAGTTTGAGATATCGCAATAAGGGATTTTTTGTGCGATGGAGAATACTATGTGTTAATTTATTGACGTTTGTAGTTTTATTTTGATCATAATAATATGCGTTTGTAATGTCATGGATGTTTTATATCGGTTTTATCTGGATTGATATTTTTTCTTGGGGGTGAGATAAGTCCCTGTTGTTGTACGACGTTGTATGTTACTGTGTGATTACAGTGCGAAATTTGAATCGTCGTGGTGCATATTAAGGTAGTATAGTGTTGTGTGTGTTTTGTAGGTATCAGATGTTATGCATGAGTTATTTAGTGCATTAATATATATATATATATATATATATATATAGTGTGCAGCTGTTAATTTGGACTCTGTTGGGCTTGTTTGTGTTAAAGGTACGTCCATTGATGTTGTTGTAGAAGGCAGTGGTGGTGTCTGCAATACAGGGCATTCCAATGATGATGGGCTGGATCGCAGTGGCGGTGTTTGTGATGAAGGTTATCATGGTATGTGTTGATTTATTTGATGTTTGTAGTTTTAATTTGTTCATAATAATATGCGTTTGTTATGTAATGGATGTTTTTATATCGTTTTTTTATCTGGTTTGATATTTTTCTGGTGGTGAGATAAGTCACTGTTGTTGTTACGATGTTGTGTGTTATTGTCTGAATATAGTGTGAAAGTTGCATCTTCGTGGTGCATATTAAGTTAGTATAGTATTGTATGTGTTTTGTAGTTACTAGATGTCATGCATTGGTTATTTAGTGTGTTATTATATATACATGGTGTGCAGCTATTAATTTGGACCCGGTGGGTTTCATTTGTGATAAAGATACGTCAATTGATGCTGGTGTAGAAGGCAGTGGTGGTGTCTGCAATACAGAGCATTCCACTGATGGTGATCATATTGATGGTTGTGTAGAAGGAAGTGGGGGTCAGTGTGATGAAGGGAATTCAACCGATATTGCTGTAGAGACTAGTGGTCAGGGCGCCAGTGAACACTGTTTGACTGACGTTGAGGCAGAAGACAATGCATTTGTTTTGGAAATGTCTCCTGGGTTGACTAAGTATTGGCGTCTAGTTTGCAGTGATAGTTTGAAGCCTGTTGTGGGGCAAACGTTTGATTCCTTGGATTGTGCTATTGTTTTTTATAAACGGTATGCTGGGTATGTTGGTTTTGATTGTAGACAGGGTACAATTCGGAGGAGGAGGGATGGTGTTGTGGTGGAGAGACAGGTATTCTGTAGTCGAGAGGGGTTTAAAAAGAGTATTTATAGTACGCAATCTACGTGTGTTGGTGATGGTAAGCCCATTGTTGTGAAGAGACGGAGGGTGATAAATAGGGTTGGGTGCAAGGCTAAAGTGGTGTTTAAGCGTAAGTCTAATGGACTATTTGTTGTGCATTTTTTGGAGGAACGACACACTCATGTGATGTGTTCAATCATTGCTAAGAAGTTTTTAAAGGAGAATCGTAGTCTTGATGCTGGCCATCAAATGTTCATTGCAAGTTGTGTTCGGGCAAATATTGGGTATGTTCGGTCCTATAAGCTGTTTAAGGAGATTGTTGGTGAGTATTCCAATGTTGGTGCTACTAGGGTGGATTTTAAGAATTTCAAGCGTGATTTGATGGCATACATATTGAATGGTGATGCTCAACTATTCATAGATACGCTTTTTAAAAGGCGTGAATTGTGCGAGGCTTTTGAGTTTGAATATGATGTTGATGACGTTGATCAGCTTACAAGGGTTTTTTGGGCAGATGCAGTATCAAGGAAGAATTTTGCATTGTTTGGTGATGCTGTTTTATTCGATGCTACATACCGATCTAACAGGTTAGTAATTTATAGTTATTGTGTATTCTGTATAATAGTATGGTGCATATTTTTATTTCATATAGTGTGTTTTGTTATATTTAATGTATTCAGTAGTTGTTGGGTTGTGCATTCTGTAGGTATAAATTGGTGTTTGTCCTATTTACTGGAATCAATAACCATAAGAGATCCATCACATTTGGTGCTGGTTTACTTACGAGGGAAGACGTAGACTCATATGTTTGGCTTCTGGAGAGATTTAAGAAAACCATGCGTCATGAACCTATTTGCGTCGTTACTGACCAAGATCCAGCTGTTAAGATTGCAGTTGCCCGTGTGTTTGGTACATCAAAACATAGATTCTGCATGTGGCATATAATGTGCAAGGTTGGTGAGAAGGTTGGACCGGTCTTAGCTAAGGACGAGGTGTTTAGGAGGAAGTTGAATGGCATTGTTTGGAACAAATCTATAGATTCCAAAGCGTTTGAGGATTCATGGAGTCGTATCATAGAGGAATATGGTTTGGTTGATAATGGTTGGTTTCGTTACTTGTTCAAGTCTCGTACATTTTGGGCATCTCCATACTTTCATGATGAGTTTATGTCGGGATTTGTTAGGACAACATCTCGATCAGAGTCTCAAAATAGTTTTTTTGGCAGTTTCTCCAATGGTCATTCCAGTTTGGTTTAGTTTTTGGTGTATTTTGATAGTGCTATTAGTGCACAACGACATGCCCAAGCAAAATTGACTGCTGATTCTAAATCATGCTTTCCTGTTTTGAAGACTCCATTGGCGCTGGAGAAACATGCAATGGATGTCTATACCATTTCTGTATTTTATGATGTGCAAGTAGAGATTTGTGAAGGTTGTTTTTCTTGTCGAGTGGTGTCTTTGTGTGAGTGCGATGGTAAGGTGTGCTATGGGATAAAAGATGGTGACAAGAAGGCATGGTGTGTGGAGTTTTTGTTGGCTGACTGTACTGCTATATGTTCATGCAAGATGTTTGAGCGGATGGGGTTGGTGTGTAGGCATATTTTTTTTGTGTTTAAAGATCGCGGACTTGAGAGAATTCCTTCTATGTATTTGGTGTCTCGGTGGACAAAGGCTGCTTGTTTGAAGCCAATTTTTTATATTGATGATACGGTTGTTGATCAATCGGCTAAAGTGGATAATGTTAGGGTGATTACTAATCTAATGTGGTCTGAAATTTATGCTTGCGTGGGATTGGCTGATGGTAATGTAGAACGGTTGGAACAACTAAGACGTGTTATTTGTGAGCAAAGAGAGTTTTTTTATCAAAGATGGGTGTGAGGATGACAATGGGGTAGCTGGTAGCAGCAAAGAAAGTGTGATTAAATCATTTTGTGGTGATGTGTCTCAGGGGTCAACAATGGAGGTTCGTGATCCAATTAAAGTTAAGAACAAGGGCGGCGGGAAGCGGATGAAGAGTGCAAGGGAGAAAGCTGTGAATAAGTGTGTAAAGCAATCAAGGAAATGCCATACTTGTGATGAATATGGTCATAATAGTAGGACGTGCCCATTAAATGGCTAGAGTTGTGTGTTGTTTTCTTAGTTGGTCTGTACTGTGGAATTTGATGTTTTTACAGTTGTGTAGACATTTTATAACACATAGAATCCGGATTTTGTAGACATTGTTGAATTTGTGCGTTTTACAATAGATCACGGTACATGTATTTGGACATGTGCATTTTATAAGAGATAATGGTGCGTTTTCAGATATATCGTGATGCATTTTTAGTGTATATTCTACGCTTTATTCCTGGTGTTGAATATAGTGTATATTTATTTCAGAATGGTGTATTCTGAATCATGTAACATGATTATAATAAATAACATTGATATGTGTTTAGTTGTGTGATCGGTGTATTTTAAAGGTATGCAGGTATTTCATACCAGAGAATCACGTTTTTTGAAATGTGTTTGGTATTGTGCATTTTATAATAGATAGTGGTGCGTTTTCACGCATATCGTGGTGCATATTTATGTATATTCAACCATGCATTCATGGGGTTAAATGTAGTGTATATTACATTCAGAATAGTGTATTCTGAACAATGTCACTTTGATTATAATAAATAACAGTGGTGTGTGTTTTACTTGTGTGATTGGTGTATTTTACAGGTAAGTAGACATTTTATAATACATAAATATTTGTGCATTTTAGAATAGATCATGGTGCGTTTTACTATATCATATGGTGCATTGTTATAGCGCAAAAAGAACACATGTAGATGTCACATTAGATGTCTGGCATCACAAAAAATTACTACTGGTCATCACAAACCACAAAAAAAACCTGTCAAGTCAGAGATATTCACATTGTCTTTCATTCAGATTAACGTCCTACTCAAACCCGGAACTCTGCTGCCTGCTGAATGTTCCTCTGTTTGTGTTCATTTAAGTCTGACATGATTAGGGCAGCCATGTATCGCACTCGTAGCTTGTTCAACTGATCCTTGTTGTCCTTCTGAAGTCCACACTGCCACTGATCTAATGTCTGCCCGCGGAAAGTCTCTAAATGGCGCATGAGAAAGATTCCACAATCCACCTTGTTGTGTGCATCTCTCCAAGGCATTTTCATTATCTTAGATTTCACCTTGTTCACTTTCTCAGCCTTGTATGAGGATTTCATGTCAGACAAGAACCTTGACAAGAATTTTTGCTGCATCAAGTAATACAAATCTGGTCATTTTTTGTTGTAGTTGTGCATTAAACATATGTAATCAGTCAGGGCTTAGTGTGTTACCAAATTTGCAAGCACAGTCCCATACTTGTTTTCTTTCTTCATAGTGACAGAAGAGTTGTCAATAATGTCAAATCTTTCCATTATTGGGCTAATGGAAAGCAGGTAGTAGTGGTTGCATGATATAATTGGAAACAAAAACTGTTATAAAAAAAAGATATGTTTTTTACGGGGGTTAGTATGAATCCAAAGATGGTTAGTAATGCACCACAAATAGATAAACAATAGCATGCACCAAATGTATATTAATATCTTACGTATAGAATGGTGTTCCACCTAACGTCGCCTGCGATGAGTTTGTCTGCAAGGTACTTTGATTTGAATCTTTCAAATCTAACGTCCTCATCTTCTTGTGGGTCCACAACTGTGAACAACTGCAAATTGTAAGGGTATTTTTGTTAGAACTGTAAGCTTGTTAAAGTTGAAGCTAGGTTTATATGTTCAACTCACGGATGTTGATTATGGCTGCCCAAGCATCAATTATAGAGACTGGGATCTGTGAATCTGGCCTCATTGATAGCATATCTTTCCAGTGGATTACCCTTCCTTCATACTTGAATAGTTCTTGGGTCCTATTGAAACAAAATAAATATGTTAGGTATAAAACACAATCAGTCACTTATCATTTAGTATAAACACACCAACAGTTAACATAGTATACACTAATATCACATAGAATAACACATCAATGTGCATAGGATATTTATGCACCAACATCATTATATAATGCACCAAATATATATAAACAGCACACCATTGTTTCTAGAATGTGTTGTGCTTACAGATCTGGATTAGGGTTTTCCAATACCCACTGCCTGATAGCTTCCTCTGTTGCAGTTAATGGTGTGTCAATGTCAAGCACGTATGTGATGGGTCTTCGTGCAATTGGGCTATGCACTCTAGCTGGGCCTTTCCCCTTGTCTGCTGGCTGGGGTGGGGGGGGGGGGTGGACTTGATGCAGGGGCTGGCTGCCCTTGGCATTCTGGTGTGATCTGTAATATTTAAAGGTGAGAGCATCAGTTTTTATAGTGTGTTAATGTTGGATTTATTATAGTTCATTACCTCAGTATTGGTGTCATCCACGCGAGTCTCATGCAAAGCCTGTTTATGTTGGTCAGATAGGGGTTCTTGTTGAGCTGTCTCAGTGCATTCTTGAGGTCTGTCTGCTACTTGATCCTCATCTACACCCAACTGAACTTCAGCAGGCTCATCAGCTTCGTTAACATCCTGGTAGTCACGTGCAATATCACTCACATCTGCCCAGCCTTTGTTTGGTTCATCCTGTGACAATCCCAGGCTGAAAGAGGGTATATCATTTAGGAAATTCCTTTTGTTTACCGCACGTACAATCTCATCAACTGCTTTCAGAAACTCAGGGTCACTCCAGTAGGCGTCTTCTCTTTGGGTAAATGTCAGTTGTCCATCTTCTTGTGCTTTGAATCCTAGCATCTGTCTAGCAGACTCAAAAACTTGCTTGAATGTATGATGTTGAAAAACGGCAACAGGTGCATTTTCAATCAGTCTGGATATTCTCAGTAAACTTGTTGCAATTGTCCTTGTGTTGCTAGTAATCTCATCAACAAACTCCTGCGTATGCACCACAAGGATATAATATAAACACACCAATGTATATCAAAATATGCACTAAATACTCTTAAAAAGCACACCACTAGAGTACATTATATTATTCACACAAACTGATTAAGGTACCTCATTGTAAGATGCTCAACAGTCTATAGGTTTTAAAACAGTAAAAGAGATATAAGGAGTACACCATGAATATGATTCAAGTGGTCTATTTTACCTGTAACACAGTGGGAAGTGGTGCATTAGTTTCAGTAGGCAGTGGTTGGGGTGGAACATCAGATTGTATTAATGGGGGACTTCCTTCTTTGAATGGTGTGCTGTCCAATGGCAAGGCATCATCAAGACGACCATATCCAAAGCCGCCAGATTTTATCTCAGCTTGTTCTCGTTGACGGAGTAGCTTAAATGTCCAGCTCTTCATGGCAGGGAAGCTTCTTGGGACTGTCCTCCGGTAGAGCACCACACGGTCAACATAGAATATCTGCATTTTGCATTTTAGATTATTAATCGATCAGTGGGTAATAAATTAGATGCATCTTGCTGGTAGTATATTTACCATCAGGAAAATAATTGGTCCTCCGTATCTTCCATCAACACTGTCCAGCCATGCCTGCTTGCTGGTGATGAGCGAATTGATGAGTATTCTACACCAATTTAGATTCTTGATGTTGTCAACATTTTGGAAGTTGTCAATGTAGCTTTGGTTGACATAACCATTGACTTGGGGCTCAACCAATACACTCATAACAAGAAGTGCAAAGTGCCTTTTGAACCAAGGGTCAGTAGCTTTTAGTGTCAACATATGCTCAGACATAACGTGGGGGGTGATGTGGCCGTTATTCTTTCGAAGAATTGCTCTCCAGCCAGTCAAGAGTTTAGATACCTCCTTGGATGCCCTCTTCACAATTTCTATGCCTCCCATCGGCAGCCCCATTGTGGCAGCAACATCATGTTCTGTGATGGGGAGTCGTTCACCAGTGGGTAGGTTTAATGTGTTGCTCCTAGCATCATAGTTTTGAACAAGCCAGAGCCCCAACTTCCTTGGCACATTGGTAATATTCAGGTCAAGAAGTCTCCCTAGTCCAATTTCCTCTACACTTTTGCGATGCTCATCAGTTAGATCTGCAATTGGGTTCATTAATTGTGTGGGAAGGGGTCGTATCTTTAGGCCAGTTTCTTTGTCTTCATCATCCAGTACGTCTGCCTCATCATTTGAGCTAGACTCATCTTGATTTTGTTGCTCAGTATCCTCACTTTGCAGCTCATTCTGGATTCTATCAATGAATTCAAGGGCTTGCTGCTTCCTTATATGTTTTGCTGCTGGGGGGTCTTCTAGTTCTAATGCCTTCCTCTTGGTGTCTGCATGACATAAGTTCAATGTTGAAAAATACACCAATATCAAAATAAAACACACAACAATGTTGTTAACTCTATTCAAGTGACGTAGTTCAGAATACACCATTACTTATTGAAATATACACTACAGTCAATAACACAAACACAATTTAAAATACACCAATATCAAAATAAAACACACAACAATGTTGTTTACCCTATTCAAGTGATGACAGTCAGAATACACCAGTAGGTATTGATATATACACTACATTCAACAACACAATCACAATGTAAAATACACCAATATCAAAATAAAACACACAACAATGTTGTTTACCCTATTCAAGTGATAACAGTCAGAATACACCAGTAGGTATTGAAATATACACTACATTCAACAACACAATCACAATGTAAAATACACCAATATCAAAATAAAACACAGAACAATGTTGTTTACCCTATTCAAGTGATGACAGTCAGAATACACCAGTAGGTATTGATATATACACTACATTCAACAACACAATCACAAGGTAAAATACACCAAAATCAAAATTAAACACACAACAATGTTTCTTACTCTATTCAAGTGACGTAGTTCAGAATACACCAGTAGTTAATGAAATATACAATACAGTCAACAACACAAACACAAGGTAAAATACACCATTACACCAGTATTTATTGAAATAAATTATACGATGCCGATGACAATGCACAGAACAAAATGATATGGACGAGTGGAAGCATGTAGGGCACTGTAAATACTCTAATACCTATTTAGTATACACTGATCATAAAAAAAAAAACACAAAAAGGTTTATTCCGAGTCTATAATACAAAATACACTGAGTTCATAC